TAAAAATCAGTTAACTTTTTTTTTTTCCAGTGGCCCTAATCCTCTTCCGTATGTATCCCTTTAGTCATTTGTAAAAAAAAACAAAACAATTTAATTACTTACTTTTTGGTGTTTATTGAAGCCTAATTTTTGTACAAAACTAAAGTAATAAATGCAAATAGCATCATGTTGCGCATGCGTATTGACTATGGGTATGCTGATCTGACAGAACAGCGGCTCTTTATCATTATTTACAGCCATTGGTGAGTGTCTAAAGAGCCCCAGGATGCAGACCTGTTTCAGAACATTTAACTAATCTAACCAGCCTAAGCGTTTAAGTGCTTTTCTCTTAACCTAAGAGGCTGATTTGAATTTTGTTGCTTCCTTTAAGCTCTTCTTAGGCCATACTTTTAAAACGAACATAAACATGTATTTTTAACAGTGCATTTTGCCACACAGCCTGTCATAATCTGTTAATTCGGTGTCTCTGCAGAGGCTTCAGCGTGTCGACGGTGAACAGGGTTCACGTCTTCAAGCCGGTGTCTGTCCAAGCCATGTGGTGAGACTCTTCTTTGTTTAAATACATCATGTCTTTTGCTCACTGCTGCCCTTTTGGCTTTGACCTCCTGCTTTTATCTTCCTTCTTTTGATCTTAACATTTCTCATTTCTCCTGTTGTACGCACGCCAATGCGGCTTCCTCGTGTTGTATTCCCTCTGCTCTTCCGTGTTCCCGTCTCTGCAAAGCTTTGATCCTTCTCGTCTCACTTCTGGTGTCGAAGCATCAAACATTTGTTGTGCAGCTTGAGGCTCATCCGAGGGAAATCCTCCTCCTCCTTCTGTTACCTCCAGGTCGGCCCTGCAGTCGCTGCACAAGGCGTGCGAGGTGGCGCGCTGCCACAATTATTACCCTGGGAGCCTGTTCCTGACCTGGGTCAGCTACTACCAGAGCAGGGTCTCCTCCAGCCAATTCTGCGTCAACGAATGGAACGCCATGCAGGACGTGGAGTCGCACCGTGCCAACTCGCCCATCCTCTTCACAGACCTGTGAGTCGCTTCAGTGTGAACGTTCCCTTCCTGTTTCACAAAAGCAGGTCAGAGGAGAAGTGCGAATAAATGAAAGCTTTTCATCCTGCATGCAAAACGCCCTGAGCTGCAACATCTGAGGAAAAAACACAAATGCACGCCACACTTTTCAGATTACATAATCTAGGTGTTCGATTCTCCTCTTTAAATTTGCTGCTTTCACAGAATCTGCAGATGGTCTATCGTTAGAGAGGCGGTGTGAACTCTGTACCCGACGCGTGTAAACGGGGATCAAAGATAAGGCGGCCCCATTGCGTCGTCCTTCGCCTCCTAACAGCCTCTGTGGAGGAGATGATTGTGGTTTTAACATTTCAATCAGCGTGTCTGACCTGTAAACGGCTCCCAGCTGAGAGAAGCCTTAGAAAGTAGAGGAATGACGCCTCCTGTCTGTATTAACAGCGGGGAATTTCCCCTCCAGGCACTTCAGTTCACGTGGCCGGCCGCCAGTTTGGAGCGCCCCCCCAACCAGAGTCTTCAAAATAGCAAAGGCTCCGTTTACTTAGGCAGAAAAACTGAAACGCAGACGAAGGCAGGGCGGCGGGCTGAGCCGCTGCGCCTGATGGATGGAGACGAGTCGGAGCTGAGATGAACTTTAAACCTGACCTGCCTGAACAGAAATAATGACTCCTCCCCTTCTTTTTTTAGTCACTTATATCTTATTTGTCTTTTTAAGGATAATCATGACATGAAATGTAGAACAGGAAAAGAAAAGATAAAAGGAAAGTCTGGGAGACGCATCGATTTTCTTTCCTGTAAGAAAGCGGTTTTTTGATTATTTTTTGTGTCCATTAGTGCTTCCTGTAGTTCTAGGCTGTTTCTCAATTCACGCGAAGGCGAGTACGGACGCGTGTCCTCGCCGAGAATGTTCTAGAGAAGATCAGAGGAAAGTCTGGACTCTGGGAGGACAGGAGCACGCAGCATAAATCTGAGTCAATTAGAAGAGATGCGTACTGATGACATCACTACATGCTCTGCTCGTCTGGAGCTGCATTTCACCTCCTGTTATTAATAGTCTCTAGATAATAATAAATTCTTACTTTTTTAATTTATTGGGGAAATAATGATTGCAGTCAGATAAACACTAAATAAAAACTCGCCATCAGTGCCAGCCGTACTTCACACACGGCTATACTGATAGAGGGCTGCTGCAGAGAGGCTAACATTAGCGCTGGCTGCAAATAGACCAACATATTCTCATTATCAGTTCGTATGAAATCGTACGAAAAGTTATGCACAGTAGTTCGTACGTTTTTGACGTTTTTCCCCAAAAATACAGATCATTGCGGATGCGCAGGCAGGCAGACGAAAAAAGCAGATCCGCGGACGGACGTAAAACTGGGAAAAACAGTGCAATAAATACTTCTTGATGTCTCGAACTACGTTGCTTGCTGTTTTGTATCTTGGGGTCAGGGTTAGGGTTAATTGTATGTTAAATTCTATGTTATTGAATGGTGCGTAAGATGCGCATGCGCACGGATATCACAAGACGTAAAAATACGACGAAAAAAACGTCTAAAACGTACGAAATTACTGTGCATAACTTTTCGTTTGATTTCGTACGAACTGATAATGAAAATACACTGAATAGACTTGGAGGTCCACTCGTTGCCGCGGTCCTCTCAACTTTGGAACTTTTTTTTTTTATTACGCACCAAATCAGTAAATGGGCCATATAGTGACGCTTAAAAGCATAATTTTCTTACCTATAATGATCTAAAAACATATTTTATTGAACAACGGCAACAGAAAAGAGAACTTTTAACTTAATACTCTGAGTGCTGATGAAGATTCTCAGTAATTCCGTAAAAGTTCCAAAAAATATCCACTGGATTTGAAGACGTTTCGCTTGGAATCTTGAAAACCAAGTCCAGTGGATATTTTTTGGAACTTTTACGGAATTATTACTCTGAGCTCTGTGAGCGCAAACCTGGAAGCTGCTGCTGCCGCAGTGCATGCTGGGACAGCTGTCAATCTGGTGAACGGAGAAGTCTGCACTGATGCGGGAGGCCCAGTGGTTAGCACACATGACCCATAGGCCTTAGTTCTCGACGCAGCTGCCCCGGGTTCGAATCCGACCTGTGGTCCTTTGCTGCATGTCTCTCCCCCTCTCTCATACCCCCTTTCCTGTCAGCCTACTGTCTAAAAAGTGCTGTGAAAACAAAGAAAAATGCATGCTGGGTAAAGAGAGGGGGGCAGAACAACATCCAGGGACTTTCTCTGTTCTTGGTCTTCATGTTCTTGTGAATTGGAACAGTTTCACGAGAACGCACAACTACACATATTGAGAAACGGCCTTAGTCGTTCCTTAGACCTTTCCATTACAGGTATGTCTACTATTGCAGATATCCATTGCCCCTCGTTCTTCATCCATTTCCTCGTGATACTGACTCCTGCCCTTCTTTGTGAAGTTATGTTTGCCCTTTAGTCAGATTACTCAGACTCTGAGTTCCCGTCTTCTCTATTTTTCCCCCCCTCCATACCAAGCGGCTGCCAAAGCTCCCTGTGTTGTTGACGCATGAGTCGTTTCCCCTGTAAAAACCACTGAGGTGTTTATTTCTTTGACATGCAGGTTACACTGTTAATTACCTGCAGGGCTCTTATCTGGCTGCTCTTCAAGGAAGCAGTTTGAAATTTCCAGCTTCAATAGAACCACTCCTTGTGTCGTCACTTACTGGTCAGAGCCTTTATTGACTGTTTCCATGCTCGGCTAATTTCCCCCCATCGTTCGGGACATCTGCAGGCAGGCCCAGGCTTGTTGAGAGGTCAAAGCTGGCTGGACGTCTGCAGCTGAAACTTTCTGTTTAGTGTTGCTCTCTCTGTTCTGCACTGAATCTGATTTTGATGTGATCAGATTTTATTTATTTGAACGCCATTGTTGGTGTCTGACCCCAGAGATAATATAATAATAGCATTATTTTTTGTTTTCTCCAGGTCCATGAATGTTGATTTATTAGTCCTTTTGGCTGCAAGGATGTAAAATATTCTCGCTGATATATTATTATTCAGTTGGTAGATTACTGATGTATTTGTTGAGTCTTTGTTCATCGCAGTTTGCTGATATTTTCCTTAAACTTATAGGAACCATTATAATCCAATAATGGACAACTCATTTAGCGATCAGTTAATCGTTAACTGCAGTAGACTGTAAAATGTGCCTTAAGCTGACAGAGTGAGCAGTAATTAAATCTAAATTGTGAAAAACATAAAATAAACATTTTGCATTTAAGATAAAATGTTTTTGTCTGTCAAAATGCTCTAGTTTTAGTTTTACCTCCTTTAATTTCGTTAAAAATCCTTTTTAAGGAACCTTTGTCTATCCCATTATTAAAAAAATAGGCGACAGATTAATCAATTTGCAAAATAATTGTTAGTTGTAGCCCCAGATCAAACCATAAGCATCTTAAACTCAGTTTTATGTAACACCCTAGTGCTACAGAAAAATCTAAACATAGCCTTTTGTTCCTTTGAATTGAAACAGAGGAGATGCAAATATGTGATCTTTATTTAGTTTTAAAGCTGATATTATCCTGTACTGAAAATATGCAGATATTCCACAGTTTTTCTTTTAGATCACCTTTTTTTTTCTTTTTTTCTACCCACTGTTGATGTTTTGACTTGAATACTTTTTTCCTTTTTGGCTTAAATTAAGTCTCTAGTATATTTTGTTATTAAATATTTTCTACTATTTTGTAAATCGAGGAAGAAAAAGCCACATTGATTTAAAATTTCAGCCTAAAAACTCATCGGCACATAACATGGATCATTTAAACTGATGCCCAAATAATCGACAACTACAGATTGCCTGATTCTGGCGTTTTAAGGCCAACGTCGTTACCAATTATTGACATCAGTCTAACCGGTGGCTGATTTTTGCTAACTATAGTTTTTTGGACAATTTTTGAAGCCAATAAAATTTTTCTTTCCTCCTTTTACATGATAAACATGACCAATTATAGACTCAAGTCAAACATAAATTTAACAAATCAAAACATTGATAATTGGTAGCAAATTATGGTTCTAATATATGGGGAATAATGTTTTTTCAAAAACATTATTTTTAAAATTGCAACAAAAATAAATTGATCACCGCAAAAAAAAATGTTGAAACTGAAAGGAAATGTTTCAAACTACTTTTAAGTGTAAAGATCTTAAATTTGTTTTAGTTTCAAACTACCCATGCCCCCATGGGGGCGGAGCTAAGATGATATAAGGCAAGGACTTACGGTTAAGACAGGACAAATGATCACCAGTTGCTGCATTCAGGAACCGTAGGAACTTTTAAAATGTCGTAAAGTATCAGTGATAATTTAAGTCTGCTTTAGAAAAGAAAAGCAGCTTCATTTGCTTTCAGTTTCCAGTTAATTTATTTTACTTTGCTTTGCAATTATGTTCAGATTCAAATCCTTCTGTTCCAATTTCAAAAATACTTTTCAGTTTAAAATGTTTTATTTCTTTGGTAGTTTAAACCAAAGATGTTTTTGATCAAACTTTGACGACTGAATCGACCAACAGCCTCGCATATCGGCCGACACTAGGGGAAAAAAATACTGAAAACCTTGTCTCTCTAAATATAAACCTTTATTAGTCGTCCTCTATCTAACATTCAGAGTAAAGAATGGTAAAGAACTGAGCCTGACCCCCCCCCCCCCCAGAGACCTCATTAGGCCACTTGTTGGTATCATCAATGTGACGTCCAAAAGCTAAACGCGTCTCCTGGCACTGAAGCTAGAAACAAAAGCCGTTTGTTTTGGACACGCCAACAGGTCGTGCTCCCTGGTTTCTATTCCCTCTGCAGTTTCTGAGAATCGGACAAAGTGGCTATTCTGTTTTTGGAACAACCAACCTCACTGAGGCCCGTGGCAAAGGGTCACTACTGTGACCCTGAAGGAGGATCATTTTCTCTCTGTGGACGTTCTAAAACGGCTTTACTGTCTGCAGGCCGACAGAGAGGGAACGCACCGAGAGGCTGATCAAGATGCGCCTCAGGGAAATCATGATGCAGAAGGACCTGGAGAATGTCACCAGCAAAGAGGTGAGAAAAAGGATTTTAGCTGAAATCGGATGCTTGGATTGGATTTGAATTAAAGTTGTAGGGAAGCCATATTTAAATGTCAAATCATTCTGGCTTAAACGTGTATTTAAATCTTTATCAGCAGATATTTACTAAAAATTTAGAACATTTCTAAAAAATCCTGTCTTAAAATCTGTGTTATTGTTTCGTTATCTTATCCCGGCCAGTTAGTTCTACGTCAGCCTGAACACCTAAATTCGGCCAATCATATATCAACGGTCATCTGTCAATCAAATTTTTCCGTTCATAGCATCTTGATTCATATGTCGCAGCTAATATCCGCAATGGTTGAAATCAGAATC